TATATTACCTAAATTCTCTAGCAGCTTTGTGTTAACTTGTATGGGGTAGGCAGCGGTATCAAGCTATATGGTTCCATGGTAATAGGGATTTTCTTCCAAAGAATTGTTTTGTTTAAAGAGGCTGCCATTTTATACATTTTCAGCCTTCAAAGCCCACACAAAATTTCCCAAAGGAAAAGGTGTAACAGAACTCCCATAACACAGAGTGAGAACCATTAAAAATGAAAAAATAACAAAGGGTGCTGGAGAATTGTGATCCATAAAATCAAAATGCTTTGTCAAGCAGCAATGGTCACCACACAGTCCACACCAGGGTGATGTATGCTGAGAGACTCATCTAGTCCATTGGTGCCTAGGTCTTTATCTGATGCAGGGCTTGTGTGTATGTACTTTGTCTGGCATGTGCAGTTTCTACTAAGTCTGTCAGTGAGTGATAAGACAAGCCTACCCCCTCCCCCAACAACTGGAGTCTTATTTCCTGCCCTGCTACCTAATGTTGCAAGAGGAGAGGAACACTCAGCTTAGCCTAATGTGGTTCTGGTAACTCAGATTGTGGATATTGACTTGGTGGTAAGGGTTGTGGGGCTCTGTAGCACGTAAGTTTCACTGTGTCAGGCCTGGTACAAGGTTTCAGGCCTAAGGCCTAACTTAACCATTCACACTCCCAAGTTGGAGACACCACTCCAACTGGACTGGTTGGAGTTGAAGTGTGTGCATGTGACATGAACAACTATTCCTTCCTGTCTTTGTATTTCCTTATAATTGGGCACTGTGGTCTCTCACTGGATTTTCTTAGGTTTTATCAAGGTAATTTGGTGTGGGGAGATGTAACATGAGTAAATAAAAGACCCAGAGACTGATATGGGGGTTCAAACTTCAAGCTAAAGGTCAGAAAAGCAAAGCAGCCAGCCACTAATTCTTACCTCTACCTCAGCCTGAAAGGGCTGATCCATGAGCTCTCTTCAGTGTGGCTGGAGAATGAATGCCTTCTACTGACTCCTTGCTCCTGTGTTTTATACCCTGTAGTGCTGGGATTAAAGGTGTGCACTATAATTCTCTTATAGATTGATTCAATCTGTGTAGATCTGGGTGGCCCTGGATTCACAGAGACCCGTCTATCTCTTAATCCTGAGTCCTAGGATTAAAGGTGTGTGCCACCACCTCCTACTTTCTGGTTGCTGTGATTAAAGGTGTGTTCCTGGCTTCTATGGCTTGTGGCTGACTTTGAGTTCTGAATCCTCAGGCAAGCTTTAATAAATCATAAATAATATATCATCACAGGGAGAAGATACTGGAAGATCTTAGTTAGCTAAAATCTTGTCTCCCTCTAACATACTTTTCTCCCAATGTGCTACATTAAGAACCATTTGTATAACCACCTCTCTCTCTTATTTTATTCTCTGACCCCCTTCACCCCCATTGCTCTCTCTTTTGACTGTCACTTTTGTTGCCTACAGCTGATGGGTGATACCACATAGCTTCCTTACCAAATGGCTTCCTTCACTGCTCTGGACTGCTCTGAGGTAGATACTTAATAAAGTACCACGATTTTATAGTCTTCCGCAACTACATTAACTAGGTCACATCTTGATCCCAAGAGAGGTCCGTGCAGACATGTACCTGGGAGGCAGAGCTTAAAAATTTTGAGAGATGCCGGGTGTTGGTGGCGCACACCTTTAATCCCAGCACTGGGGAGGCAGAGGCAGGTGGATCTCTGTGAGTTCGAGGCCAGCCTGGTCTCCAGAGCGAGTGCCAGGATAGGCTCCAAAGCTACACAGAGAAACTCTGTCTTGAAAAACCAAAAAAAAAAAAAAAAAAAAAAAAAAACCCAAAATTTTAGAGAGAACTCTGGCAGACGTCATCTGGTCACTAAAACAACGGCAAACATTAATGTATGCTGTCCACAGTGCAATGTTCCCATTGAGTGGACTGTGAGTCCAGCTCTATTGTGGGACACAAGAAGGGCTAGAACTCAGCATCAGTTTTACTGGGTCTGGCTGTTCAGGGTTTCTGGCAGTCACTGTTGGCCACTGCTTGCCTCAGTGTGTTGGGAGTCAGATGTTTTGTCCCTGTGATAAATACCTGGGGGAACAAATTTAAAATGGGGAAAAATTTATATTTGGCTCATTTCAGAGTTTTGATTTCCTCTTGTCTTCTGAGATGAGGTCTCATGTAGCCCAGGCTGGCCTCTGATTTGTCACGTAGCTGGGGGAGATCTTATATTTCTGATCCTTTTGCCTCTAGCTCACGAGAGGTGAGAGAATGGTTGTATGCCACCATTCCTGGTTTTAAACAGTGCTGAGGATTGATTCCAGGGCCTCATGCAAGCTAGGTAAGCACTGTACCAATGGAGATATAGCGCCAAGCTTGTGTCAGAGGCTTTATTTAGCTCATGGCTGACTTGCTCCATTGCTGGGGGACTATGATGAGGCTGAACATGACGGTGGGAAGGGGCTAACCTTTAGCAGAGAGAGACAATGGGGAAGTGTTACGATAAATCTTTCTGCCAAAAGCCGCCTGAGCCCCACCGCCACGTGTGAACTTTACGCCAGTCGCCTACTTGAGTTAGGCCCAAATAAATACACAGTCTTGTATTAGGTTCAAAACTGCTTGGCCAATGACTAGGATTCTCATCTGTTAGCTCAGTCTCAATTATCATACATCTATATATTTTATAAGACTTATCTTATCGGACACCTTATTGGCGTCCCTCCTGGCCGGTGGATCACATCTTGCCACTGGAGCAGGAGCGGAGGGGAAAAGAGGGCCCCTCCTTTTTCTCCTTCCCTTAAATATGAGTTTCCTTGCTATGTCACTTTCTGCTTGCATAAACACTACTCTACTACATTTCCCAGAATCCTCTTTGACTCCTAGTCCTGCCTAACTTGCCGTTTCATTGGCCAAACAGTATTTTATTTAACAATCAATAAGATAAACATACACAGAAGTATTTCCCCATCAGGGAAGATGTTGCTTTTGAAGATGTGTCTTTTTTTTTTTAAGATTTTATTTATTTCTTATGTATACAACATTCTGCTTCCATGTATATCTGCACACCAGAAGAGGGCACCAGGTCTCATAACGGATGGTTGTGAGCCACCATGTGGTTGCTGGGAATTGAACTCAGGACCTCTGGAAGAACAGTCGGTGCTCTTAACCTCTGAGCCATCTCTCCAGCCCTTGAAGATGTGTCTTTAGTGACTAGCTAACCGAGCTCCACCTTTGTGTAGTTGGTTGATGAAGTTAGTGCCCTACCATCCAGCCACCTCTCGATGATGTCACTCGCTGAGGACCAATCCTACAGCATGTGAACTTTTTTTGGGAGTGAGGGGACTTGATAGGCAAATTGTAATGGAGTGACTTACATCAGTGACAACTAAAAACAAGAGTTTGGGGAGATGGCTCAGAGGGTAATAGCTCTTGCTTGGAAAGCAAGAAGACCTGAGTTCAAATCCCCAACACCCATTTAAAATAGCCAGCCTAGCCTTACCAGTGAGTTTCAGGTTCAGTGAGAGACCCTGTTTCCAAAACTAAGGCCAGGAGGAAGACTGAGTAGGTAAAAGCACTTGCTGCACAACTGTAACAACCTGAGTTTGATCCCTGGAACACATAAAAAACCAAGTGTGGTAGCTAGCATTTGTAATCCTAGCACTACTAAGGTAAAATGTGAGGCAGAGACAGGAGATTCGCCCGGAAGCTCACAGGCTAGCCCAGAAGCTCACAGGCTAGCTAGCCTGGAGTACATAGAGTGCGAGAAAGGACAAGAGAAACCCTGCCTCAAAAGATGGAAGAAGAGAACCAGTTTCAGGAAGTTATCCTCTGGCTTCCATATGTGTGCTACAGCCTGAGTGTGCTACCTGCCTCATCTCTCTCTCTCTCACACACACAATCTCTCTCTCTCTCTGCCTCTGTCTCTCTCTCTCACACACAATCTCTCTCTCTTTCACACACACACAATCTCTCTCTCTGTCTCTCTGTCTCTCTCTCTCACACACAAACACAATCTCTCTCTCACACAATCTCTCTCTCACACACACAAATCTCTCTCTCTCTCTCTCTCTCTCTCTCTCTCTCTCTCTCTCTTTTTTTTTTCTTCTCTCTCTCTCCCCCCCCCCCCCCACCCCACACACAAATAATGTGGAGAATGATAACGACTCCTCCACATTCGCAAGTGCACACACCCGTACACACATACTCACATAGACTCCATAATAAATTATATTTAAAAAAAACTGAACCAAAAATCTCTCAGTAAAGCCAAATCAATCGGCTTTTAAGATCATCACCTTTCTGTGTGGCTGGGGTTATTTACTTAAGTTTTTTTTTTAGTTCAGTTTAGTTTTTCAAGACAGATTTTCTCTGTGTAACAGCCCTGGCTGTCCTGGAATTCTTTGTAGACCAGGCTGGCCTCGAATTCAGAGATCTATCAGCCTCTGCCTCCTGAGTGCTGGGGTTAAAGGCGTGTGTGTCAATACACCCAGCTTAAGTATTTTCTAACTTAATTCTTTACCTATAAAAATGAGATAAAACCTTCACAGGTTTCCTGAGAAGTTAAGTACTTGCAACACATTTGAGACTTGTCAGTTGCACAATACTCAAGAGATTCTAGTGTGGGGCTGGAGAGTTGGCTTAGCAGTTGAATGCCGCTCTTCTGGAGGACCTGAGTTCCGTGCCTAGCATTCATGTAGGACAGCACACAACTGTCTGTAAACACCAGCTCTGAGGGATCCAATGCCCTCTTCTGGCCTCCTGGGCACTGTCCTCACGTGCACAAACACACGTGTACATACATATTTTAAAAAACAAAATGAATCTTCAAAAGAGATTTTAGCTGTTATTGTTGGTCTGTGAGTTTCTCCCAACTAGGAGGCAGAGAAACAGATTGGGCTCTGAGCTCCTCACATTTGCTCCCAGATCCTTAAGGAAGTTACAGGCAACTGCCCACATTGCTCAGGTCTCATACTTGTTCAGTGACCTTCAGACCAGGTTTTCTTTCCTAGGCTGCTCAGATTCTTCTGAAGATGTGGCTGGCATCTCAGGAAATCCTCTCTGGCTGCGGCCTTCCAACATACAGACAAAAATCCTTTATGTTGAATGGAAGAAGACACAACTAGGCTCACCTGGAAACAATAAGAAGATCGAGCTCCTGGTTCGGTATAATCATAATAAAAAAAAAATATCCAAGATTTCTAATGGTTTCAATAAGACATATGATTTTAATGACGTGGATTTTGCTCTTGGCATCAAGTCAGCTAAACTGCAAGACAGTGGTCAATATGAGCTGGAGATCACCAATCATAGTGGAAAAGTTTGCAGTAAGAAATTCCAGATTCTTGTATTTGGTGAGTTTTTAGCACTGCTCACTTTGCCCCAGTTTAAACTCAGTTTAAACTCAACTGATTCTTGTAGGACTTGTATTTCCAGAACCCTCTGACCAGAATCTCTGCTTCCAGATCGTGTTGAGAAGCCTCACCTGCGGGGCCAGTGGAAGGCCTGGGCTGAAGGGATGTGTCAACTGTCTCTGTACTGCTTGGTGCCCAGGGATGAAAATGTGAGCTATTCTTTGTACAGAGGGAGCAAGCTGATCTCAGAAATAAGGAACTTTACCCACCTGGTGAACAAGACTGAAGCCAGAAGCCTGCTCACATATACCTGCAATGTTAGCAACAAAGTCAGCTGGGAAAGTGACACCCTAAACATCACTCAGGGCTGTCAGAGTGCCCCTCAAAGTAAGTGGGGTCACTTTGGCTCACAGCAGGGACTCCACAACCAGACTCACATGAGACCCAGTATCAGGTCACATGGTCTTCTGGTGCAGTGCCTTGGGCCCTTCCTCAGCAGGCACTGGGCTTCTCAGAAACACAGGTCTGTCTTAGCCTGGGAGGATTTATATCTTTCGCTTCTACTGGAAACAGTAGCATAGTTTTCCCTCCTCATAGGGAATACCAAGTTGTTTAGTGACTTTTGTGATGTTATGAACATTAGCTTCCTAATTTGAGAGGTTGGAGACCCAATTTCTCCTGAGTGATGTCTTACCTCATGCTGGAGAGTTTTCTGGGAGGTAATAGCACTTATCATAGTAACTTTGTCAGTGGGGACAGCAGGAAAATGACAAGGAACCTAGTAGAGTTCTGCATTTATTGCTTATCCTGGGTTACCTGAGTTAAGGTTGTATTACCTTTTGTTAGATAAAGGTTTAATGTGATGTCAGCATGGGCACCAGGCAAACCAACCCAGTTTAAACTCAACTCAACCCACTCAACCCAACCCCTACCCAACCCAACCCAACTCAAACCACCCAAACTAACCCAACCCATCCAACCTAACCCAACCTAACCAATGCAACCAACCCAACCCTACACAACCCACCCCACCCCAACATGACCCAACCAACCCAACTCTCAGAGAGTCTTTCTTCTTAAATTTGCAGCAGAAATTATGTACAGCTCTCTACTTTGGGCTTGGGTTTCCACAGTGTTAAATTTAGGTTCATGTAGTGTATTTTCTTATCTTCGGGTTAGGCACATCTCTTTTCACAGAGGAGGAAAACACCGAAAGAACAGAAGGAATAGGTTCTCAGAACCTTTTCTCAGAGTACCCCTTGGATTCCCACAGGACTAGACCTGAAGTATTCCATGCCCCACATTCAGGATTTAGGTATACTGCCATTCATGTTAGGCAAAAGGACCACTGACTGGCATTGTCATGGGTGGAGCTGCCAAGGAAGTATAGCCCCACCATGACAGTGTCCTGTGGCAGTACTCTATCCAGTGGCCAATCTCAGAGCTTCCTTACTTCAGTGGGCGATCCCAAGTGAGTGCAGAGTTCCCAAATCCTTGGCAAGCAGCCCTAGCAAAATGCCCAATTCTTAGCTTCCAGAAACTCACTATTGAGGAAATAGGGAGCCACTCCAGTAGGAACCCAGAGCTAGGCATCCCTCCGTGGAACTACAGACTTGAACCAGACTAACTCAAAACATAGATACTGAAAGAGAAAATGGAGTCATAAACTAGCATTATAAAGAATCTCTCCACCAGTAAGTTTGCTTAAAAATATTGTTAGGCAGGCTGGAGAGATGGGTCAATGGCTAAGAGCTCTTCCATCGGTTCTGAGTTCAATTCCCAGCAACCACATGATGGCAGACCTGGTGCCCTCTTCTGGTCTGCAGCCATACAGGCAGGCAGAACATTGTATGTATAATAACTAAATAAATCTTTAAAAAATATTGTTAGGCAGAAGAGAGTGTTAGACAGATATGACACTGGTCGCTTACAGCTGCCCATTCATCTCTCTTTCCATATCAAAAGGAGCCTGCTTCTGCTGAGAGGTTTAGGGGAGATGGCCCCAGCTGACAGCTTCTCCTTAAACCCTCTGCCTTCAATCAGGAAAAGCACAGTTCTGCCAGGCAGCCAAGGTGACCGTGGTTAACAGCTGCCCCGGAAAAGCAGCTCTGGCCCATCTTGAGATAACTAAAAATATCTTTTCATCATAAATGTCCCCAAGCAACCAAACTTGCAGTTTCTGTCTCTGTAAAACATGCTTAACTGCTCAAAGTTTCTGGGACCCTAAAAGAGATTTACAGAGGAAAACCTGAGTAAAAATGCCATGTTATAGTTAGAACCCATATAAAATGTAAAGAATCTGTTTGCAGCCAGCTCCCCTTTGTGCCTTAGCCAGAACTGGTCTCACCCTGTTATATAAGATTTTTTTCCTTTAAAAAAAGGAAAAGAAAAAAAAGAAAAGAAAAGGAAATTTACAGCAAAATGGGGCAACAAGACTAAATGATTCACAGGTTGAAAAGGAACAAAAAAGAGTGAGGCCAAGTGTAGTAACAGGAACACTGGTGTGGGCGCCTAGACCATCATTGCTTCATCATTTTTTTTTATGTGATCTCAAGCAGATACTGATTAACTTCTGTTAGTTTCCATTTTTCAGTTGGGTAAATGGGCATGATGATAAGAGGTGCCTTCATGATCAAGTGAGATGCTTGTGAAAAACTCATTAGTGGATACCTGTAATGCAGAATTCTTTACCGTTCTCTTCTTGTTGGCTGTATTATATAACAGGGTCCACGTGAAACACAAATATAGAAGTTTTGATGAGGAAGGGCAGTGAGGGCAGAAAAACCAGGAGGGAGAAATGGAAAGCTTATAGCAGTAGGTGTGTGGTGAGTATTTGCTGACTTAAAAACAGTAGATAGATGTAACAGTTGCTTTGCAAGATGTTTTACAGGTACCAGATCATGCAATTAGCCCCTAGAAGGAGAAAACGTTATCTCCTTTTTTTGTTTTTGAGGTAAGAAAATTGCCTCAGAGAGGTAAGACAGTAGCACAGGTCCTCTGGATCAGTCTGTCACCCAACTGAGGAGGGACAATAGGGTAATGAATTTATGGGATGTGAGGAGCCTGGCCACATGAGAAAGGACAGTGGGTTTGGGGATAGTTCTTGAAGCTAACGTATGAGGACGTGAGGGCTCAGTCTTCCTTCCTTCTGTGTCCCTCAGAGTTCAGTTTTCTGCCCTTTGTGGTGATCATCGTTATTCTAGTCATATTACTTCTCGGTGCCATCACTTGCTTCTGCGTGTGGGATAAGAAGAGAAAGTCACGTAAGTAGGAGACCCCTGATGGAGTGCTGTTGCGTGAGACATCAGGTCCAGTGGGTTGAGCCTGTGTCCATGGGAAACACTCTACACAGCTTCTCCTTTCCTGGCAGAGGTGTTGGGATATTTGTGAATATGGGTCGGGGAGGGCAGCTAACAACTGTAGCCTCCTATTCACACTAGCTGTGGACCATATTTATAGCATGGTCCCCAATGCCCCAATGTACTGGTTTATCTAAGGTGCTGGCTTTGGTTGGTGACTTCCCAGTTTGGTGGAAGATGGTTGTCAAGGGAGGGGTAAAGGCTCTACTGTGCTCTTTAGGTATCCTGGCAAGGTAACCTGCCTGTTTTCTGCAGCCACTCTTAAGATCTTTACTATCCTCAGTAGAGGTGTGACTTGTAAAGTAGAAGCCTGGACAGCAAACTTTCCTGGTGTTTCTGAAATTCTAGACTTTATATTTTCTTCACACAGAGTCCAGCCCTAAGGAATTTTCAACAATATATGAATATGTCAAGGCCCCACAAGGCAGGAGGAATCAAGTAGGACATTCTGGGGCCTCAGGATCTCCTTCATCTGTCCAGGAAAATGGAAGGGGACAAAGGGAACCGAACAGGTGTCATTTCGAGGTGATCTTCAGCCCTCTTCTATCTTTCTTTTCTCTCTACCTGTTTCCTGGCTCTGCCCAAAGAGAAAAAGGGGGAAAGAAATGCAGCAGAGAAAATGAAAACGAGGCAGAAGGGGCATCATTTTGCTGAACTGTATCTGCTCAGAAGGGATTGAACTCAGCAGACATCAATGGCAGAGGGCAGAATGTGTCGACTACTGCCTTCCCAGACTGCCCTCTGATGTCATCCTCATTTCAGCTCAGTATTACCAGCTGGGCTCAATGCCAGGATAAGAGCAACCTCCTTCTGTTTATTGCCTGGTCCTCTCATGGAGATTAGAAGATAGGAGTTCTCTCTTGTGGGCCTCTTAATCCCTGCCCGGGCTGGGGAGCATGAGCAGCCAGAGTGTAAGAGTTTTGGAGGTTCCTCAGTAGTCTGTGTTCAAAGCCTGTTGCGTAGAAGCCCAAGCATGGCTAAAGTAGCAGAGAAGGCAATTGGTTTGGTACAGAGTAGGCAAACCTGAAGGCTCGACTGTGAAGACCTGTCTCTTCCCAGCTCTCTTCAGGACCTAGATCAGAAGATCTAGTTGGGTAGGAACGTAGAGGAGAAGGAAACTTCAGAGGGCCTGCATGTGCTCTCAGTACTGTATTTCAGGATGTGGTGACGGCTTAGGGGGAAGGTGCAGATGAGTCAGGTGGGGTTGGTGGCAGTGGAAGTGGAGGGGAAGGACTTTCCTCTCACTCCATGTCTACTGCTAGGCGGAGGGAGACACGTGGGCTCTTCTCTTCTGTCACAGAACAGCTTCTTTCTGGTCTGAGAGAAGCTCTGTTTGCCTTCTTCCTCGTGCTAGCAGTGGGATGCTGGACTGGAAACTAAAGAAGATTGATTTCCCCACTGCTATTATGTCTTAGGACACGTGTATCTACCTGTAGCCACAAGATGCCCAAATGTTTATAAAAAATTACCCTCCTCATTACTCCAGATGAAGATGATGTTAGACTAGTAAAATAAGGGGGCGGTAGGAAGAAATGCCTCTTGGGGACTCAGGCTGTTGCTGTTGACCATCTTTTGACATGAGGTTCCTCCTTGCCTGACCTCACCCCGGCCTGGTGTCTTTTCACTGTCTCCGGGTTTTGGTTTGAAAGCCTCCATCCCAAATTTCATGTGGCTTCCCCTTAGGTCACAGATTCAACCTTTCTGGAGACCAGTCACATGGGTGTGGACAGAAGAGAAAAGCAACAAACTCCTGTTGACTTTCTACTGCTGAGAATGGCTGATGTTTTTCTGTTTCTCAACCTCTTACTTCTGGAGAGCTCAGCTACTGAACTCTCGTAGCCTTGCTGACCCCATGAAAGCCCCACTTGGCACTGTGTTCTTGGAGACATGTAGGATGGGATACCTCCATCTGTAATTGCCTGTGGAGCAGCCATGAGGGGAGGGAAAGAAGGAAGGATGGGCTATGTGCTCTCTGAGACCGGGCTTTCACTCTGCATTGTTACTTCTCTGGGGTTGGATTGAGGCCCTGGGTAAGCTGACCATGAAGCCTGGATCTAGAGAGGAGCCTTAAGACAGTCACATTGTTAAAATGTTTGGGCGGGCCCTCTGAATTTCAATGTCTTGAAGACCCTAGCACTCTACCCACTGTCATTGGTTGTGTTGGCAAAAAAGCCAGCAAAGTCAAGAAGGGAGTTTTACGTTATTAAAGGGAAAGAAAGAGACAGGAAACCTGTCAGGTTGTTGACTCCTGGGTGGCTCCTTGCTGCTGGTCTGCTCCAAGTCATTCTTCTTCCCATCTCTCCTATTCTGATGTTTGATGATAAGACTTTCCCAGTTTGTACCTCACTCCTCCTAGAAACCACTTCTTTGTGATGTTTCTCACTGCTTAATTTAAACCCAGACAGAGACCAGTACATGTCCCATCACTCTTCTGTACAGGAGCAGATGCCGGAGCAGAAACCCTCTGGAGATGGAGGCACCATCTACTCAATGGTCCAGTACAAGGTACCCCTCTGGCCTCTCTAATCCATCCCATTCCAGTATATGGGAATTCCCAAGCCTCACTTAAAGCACACCGTTGAAGGGAGAATGGGACATTGGTGTTCCTTAGGGACCGGAAGACAGCCACAGGTGCTCTAACACAGTGTTTGAAATGATGAACATGTTCAGAGTGTCTTGGCAGTGATTTTTTTCATTTTTTTATTTGAATTAGAGACAAGATTGTTTTACATGACAATCCCAGTTCTCTTCTCCCTCCCTTCCTCCCTTACTAGCCCCCCCAACTAAACCCTACCTATCTTATATCCTTTCTTCTAATCTACACCTGACTCAAACTTTCTGCTCCCTCATGACCTCTGCATCCTTCCTCTTCTTCCCTTCTCACTCTCATAGCTCCCTCCCCTCTCTTCCCATGTTCTCAATTTGCTCAGGGGATGGTGACCTTTCCCCCTTCTCCAGGGGACAATATTTGTCTCTTTTAGGGTCCTTCTTGTTTACTAGTTTCTCTGGCAGTGTGGATTGTAGGCTGGTAATCCTTACTCTATGTCTAAAATCCACATATGAGTGAGTACATATCATGTTTGTCTTTTTGTGATTGGGTTACCTCACTCAGAATGGTTTCTTCTAGTTCCATCCATTTTCCTGAAAATTTTGAGATTCCATTGTTTTTTTTTCCTGCTGAGTAGTACTCCATTGTGTAAATGTACCACATTTTCTCTATCCATTCTTCGGTTGAGGGGCATCTGGGCTGCTTCCAGTTTCTGGCTATTACAAATAGTGCTGCTATGAACATAGTTGAACAGATGTCCTTGTTGTATGAATGTGCTTCTTTTGGGTATATTTGGCAGTGATTTTCATTCACAGCTAGCAGAAGTGTAGACTAGGTTGTCTTCAGGAGAACAAACTCCGTTACAGGATTCATCTTATATTTTTCCTCTGATTCTAAGAACCGGAGTCCTTGTAATAATTATTCTAATGGTACCATTAATCATTATCTTTATTAAGGAAAGAATAGATGTGTATTAGTCTTACTAAATCTTATTTAGACTTAACAATAATGACCATTTTCTTAATAAATTTTACTTGACAGCCTTAGAAAGTTTACAGATGAGGAAACCAAGACTCAGGTTAACTAATGTGTTCAAGGTCACACAGCTGAGTAGTGATACAGTTGAGCCAGTTTCTCAATTTCCATCCTACCTCTTCCTGGAATGCCTCTAACTTCAGACAACTTGAAAGTTCATGCATGAATTACTAAGTTATTCTCTAATATTGACAGATGATAGGACTTCATTGATAACCAGGGTCAGGTGTTCTCTTCCAAGGGAAAATGCTTGGTGATGGACAGCTGTGAAAAGTTTCCAATTAAAACCTTCTCTTCCTATCTTCTCTTCTCCTCTCCTCTTCTCTCCCATTTACTTTCTGAGGACCATGTCCAGGAACAGCAGTACCCGCTGGTGATTGACAAAGTTGTATCACAAAGAAATCTATCCCAAGAGTGACTGGTATCTGTCGGCTCACTGGTTTTAGCCGCACTGGGCTTGACAGAGAACAATTTTAATAAACCCAAGGAAGAACTCAGGATACTGAGTGAGAATGAGATTGCTCCTCTGGCTTATCTTACTGAGGAGATAGTTGTCTGCCCTGATGAACATGCATTTCCGGTCTAGAGAAGGAGGTTTTACCAATGGGAGCCATTGAACTCCCTGTTAAGGAAATCTTGGAAAATTTTGGACTTGAATTCTGCACATCTATTGTGTACTGGGATCGTCTTCTCCTTCTTCTCTTCTTCTTCCTTCTCTTCCTTCCTTCCTTCCTCCTCCTCTTCCTTATTCTTTCTCTTCCCCTCCTCCTTGTGAATCTGTAACCTTGTGTGTGGCAGAAAAATATTCCTATCTTTTTAGGAATAACATAGGGTTAGGAAAGAAAGAATATAGATAAAATAAGTGCACAACAAATAGTGATAATTGTTACTAACAGAAACAATGGAACTAATTAGTGTCAGGCCCTACCCTCCAGCTAACTCCAGGCTTCTTCTCATTGACACAGAGCTTACATTTAGTCAGAGTTGAGGCAAAGGGTTATGCTGGATCTTTGTTTATGGAATACTTTTTATTTTCCCTTATTAGCCTTCTGATTCCACACCACAAGAAACGTGCACACTTTATTCAGTAATCCAGCCTTCCAGGAAGGTAAGAATCTATTCCTCTGGAGAGTTTTGTTGAACAGATGTATGTCTTGCACGTGTGTACTATACTGTGTTTGCAGGTGTGTGTTTGCAGAGCATGTGTGTATACCCCAGTGAGCTGTCTTCCATTCTGTGCAACTGAGTAGCTTCTGTTAAATGATTATATCTAAATGCTAAGAGCCTAATAAGGAGAAATGCCTTTCCAGTTCTGCCTGTGAAAAAAAAAAGCAGTTCTGAGATGCAGAGAACAGTGGATTGTAGGATCTTCTTAGACTTTTTGTGGTGGATAAAGGGCAGGGACAGAAGTCAGGACGGAAGGATCTCAGGATCGCTCCTAGGATAACTGAGGTTATGGTGAGAGCTACTGGAGGGGTTTCCAAGGTAGAGGCTTGCTGCCTATAGCTGAAGGCATCAACTAGGAATATTAACATTCAAAGACTAAAGGTTCTAGGCAGCCCTGCTGGACTGAAACAGCCATCATTACCCACTCAAGGCCAACTCCAATCTCAGCTCTCAACATGTCTGGAAACACAGAGTTGTGTGTCCTGGGGCTCATGCTTAGCCATTTAACAGTTATGGAAGGGAATAGGAAGAATGGCGCTCTCATGGCTGGAATCACAGAGTAGAGCTACAAGCTATAACTCAGCAGAATGGAGAGTTAGAATTCCACCAAACTGGAGGTCTGTGCAGGTTAGGGGCTGTGGTTTAAAGGGGTTTAGGACAAGTTTGCTAATTTCATTCATTTTCTTCCAAACCAATCAGTCATCCACTTGGATTCCACTGTGAGACATGTTTATTTTTTAACCACATGCTGTAATATAAGCACATGTAAATGCTCTCAGGTACTGTGACACTGTTTGGTGTTATATTATAAAAATCTTGGGACTGAAGAGATTGGCCAAGTATGTAAGAGCACCTGCTGTACAAGCCTAATGACCTGAGTTTGAGCTCCAGAACCCATGGTGGAAAGAGAGATCTGATTCCTAAAAGGTTGTCCTCTGGCCTGTCCATGCACACTGCTGCACACAAGCCATACATACATCATACACACAATAATAAAAAGTTCTACATACAACTGAAAATATAACTAATGATTCACAAAACCACTGTGTTTTTGGTATGTGCTAAGGTTAGCACACATGTATGTCCCAGAGCTGTTTATGTTAGAGGAGGGTGTACTGACATGATGCATGGGTTCAGGTGGTATTTATATTAGGATTGTCCTATTTGTGGACACTAGGATTGTGTGGTTGTGGATTGGGGGGCTGTGTGGGTACAGATACTAAATTCTGACTTTAGCTTATGAGAACACATCATAGGCCAGGATGTATTGTACTTCTCTGGGTACCATTAAGAACCACACATTGAATCATGGCTGAAGGGCTTTCTCTTTGGGATCTTGCATGTGAGTCAGGAGCAAGACATCTCTTATGTTAAACTTACACCTTCTTAACCCTCATTTTTTCAGTCTGGATCCAAGAAGAGGAACCGGAACCCATCCTCAAATTTCACTGTGTATGAAGAGGTAAGATTCTGGAAATCTCTTTCCAGTGGGTTTAAGGTCTGTGGACTCCCAGGACTCAGTCAAGAAGATACACTTATAACAAGGTCATCCATACAGTCCCAGGGATGCTGGGATTTTAGGGGTCCTGCTGAAAGACACTGAGGTCCCAGAAGACCAAAGGTCTAACTCAAGGTCATATCATATGTTCAAAGGCTGGGAGGCTTGGGTTCTAAACTAGGGCTGTCTCCAAGCTAGTTCCCTGGCTATGTGTTAATGTTGATGGATGTATGTGGGGTATACAAAGAGGATCAGAGAATGGAAAATAAATGATTCCAAATTATTTCCTAAAATTAGTAAGTCATTGGGAACAATTCCAGAATGTGGGTGTTCTCAGACTTCTGTGGAAGACATTGTTCAAAAGTGACACTGAGTCTGGTAGCTAACTGATGCCCATTAGGTCTACAGGAAGAAGGGAAGAGAGACATAACATTTATTAGGGTTTTTCCTAAGCTATAAGGCAAATTGCCAGTGCCTGTGCATAAACTACCTCATTTAATCTTCACAGAATGTTGTAAGGTAGGCATAGTGTAACCATAACCTTCATTTGTTCTTTTCAGTGCTAAGGATAGAACCCAAGGCCTTGGGTATGATAAACAAGTACTCTACCACTGAGTTATAGTCCTGCCTTCATGCTTTATATCCAGAGAAATGAAGGCACAGAGAACACCCTAAGTACTAGCCTCAGAAACAAAACACCCAGGTCTAATAGAAATTGTTGTTAGTCAAAAGGAAGAGGCTGTGTGGTTGCCTATGGGGATGGCAAGTGGCAGTCTAACCATTAAGCCAACTTGACAGTCCAGAGTTGCAGAGTAGACTGTATGGGCCAAGGCAAGCTGGGGGCCACGAAGAAGCATGGAGTAGTTAAAAAAAGCACCGGGACTGAGGGGAAGAATGGATCCAAGTCCCACTTTCACCCACACTAATCACTGGCCTCAAGGAATGGGTTATATATACCACTCTGATATTGTTTTATTAGTCTGAAATGTGGGGATGGTAGACCACACCCTAGAAGATTATTTTAAGGATAGTCCAGAGTGAAGGTTTGAAGTGTCTCCCCTTTCTTTGCAGGTTGGACAGCAATACCTTAAAGCCAGAAACCCTGCCAGACTGAGCCGCAGAGAGCTAGAGAACTTTGATGTTTATTCCTAGTCGCTGCAAGTGTTCTCATCCTGGGTTACACATCAGCCTTGACTTTTGAAGGGAACACAGCAGATGATGATGATGTCATCTGAGTCTGGAACAGCTCCTAGGCTGAGAGGATGTAGAAGTTTATTCATGGTTTATATCTTATTTTGTCTTTTTATTTTTATTTTTTAAAATTAGACAAGATCTGACATAGTAGCCAAGGATGACCTTAAACTTTTGACTTCCCTTCCTATACTTCCCAAATTCTGGGATCACAGAGGCATGTACCACTATATATGGCCACCAAACAATTTTTAACAGCCACCATAAGATCAAGGTTGTTAAAAATCTCCCAAGTTTACAGACCAGACAAGAACAGGTAGAGAGGTTGTTCTGGCTACACTCTGAGATGCTGTAATCCATACGGTGCTGTAGAAATGTGGGGTAGAGGAAGATTCCTTTCTTATGGTTCTCTAAGTTGTTATCCCCTACTCTGACACATTGATATGGGATGCTTGCATTCTAGACCCGTCCCCTGCTCACAATGAGAGATGGCGACTCCAAGGAAGAGGAAACACAGTTCCTCTTTGAGGCTGTGCTATCTGGCTATGAGCTAGCTGGCAGCTCTTCACTCAAACTTGGGGAACCCCTGGTCATCCACATCTTTATCTCTGGCCGGTTGTTCACAAGGAATAGTGGGAAGAACTGAGAGTAGATGGTGCAATTCACGCAGGTCTCTGGACAGAAGAATCCCAGAGCATGCACCATCCCGCTAACAGGTGCTTAAGATCAGTATTGCCCACAGTGTGATGGCTGGTTTACAAATTCCCATCACTAGAAACTCAGAGTTCTGAGGGGTGTTCTCTGTGATACTCTTGGATACCGTGGTACCCAAGTTGAGTGCTGAGAAGTTCTCCCCATGATACACCTTGGAGGGAGGGCTGAAATAATTGATTGCTGAAGATGAAGCAATTGGGTACCACACGCCATGCTATCCGTCTTCAGGCTAGCTCCTTTAGCAATGCAGGGTGGCGGGGGCAGGCCTGAGGGGCTAGATGAGCTCAGGAAAGCAGCAAGTATGAGCTAAGAGAGGACTTACTCAGAAGCTCCAACAAGGGGCTCAACTCAGAATTTAGTTCTTTTTTTTCCCTGCCTCTGCTGGAATTAAAGGCACACACCACCACACTGGGCTTGGAGTCTTGTTCTTCAAGAGTCTCATCCTGCACTTATCATGGGAGTTTGGCATGAAACTTTGCTCTTGCACAGAGGCAGCGTCGACCCTTTGCCTCCATTAAACTGATGAACTTCTCTATACTCAGCATGTGTGGGTCATTGATTAACATTCATTCATTCATTGTTTACATTCTGCTGGAGGTGAGGCTGACTTTCTGGCTAGCTGTCAGTCTTGTTCACATATAGATAGCAGAGAGTCAGAAACCTGGGTCTATTTAGCCTCATAAAGGACAGCCAAGTCCTGGGCTTGGGTTTGCTTGGGCTTTGCCTGATCCCTCTTTCCTGAACTTGCCTAGCAGGCTGGCTTCCCCTTAGATAGAAGCACAGACAGAGCATGTTGTAAAGAAAGTGCCAAGGGAGGAATATATTTAAAAGGAGCCTGTGGTCTTCAGACTTAGTAGACTTCCTAGTGGATGCCTTACCCTCTCCATGGAACAGATGGGAGGAGGGCGGGTGGAGGGTTTGGGAGGAAAGGAAGGAGGGGGAACTGGGATTGGAATGTAAAAAATTAATAAAAAATGAACAACACCCCCAAAACAAACAAATAAACAAAAAGAGTCTGTGGCCTTGAGGCAGATATTGGGAGTTGAGTCAAGGAGCTTGGTGAACAGAGACAGTAAGAAATGATTGAGAGAAGGCTCAGTGTTCAAGAGCATTTGCTCTTCCAGAAGGCTCAGGTTCAGTTCCCAGCACCCTTATCAGATGGCTCACAACAACCTGTAATTCCTTCTCTGGATAATCCAGTGCTCTCTTTGGACCTCCACAGGTACTATATGCATGTGGTGTACACACATACATGCGGGCAAAATGCTCATACAATAATATAAAATAAATCTTAAAAATGATGGAGTAAGAACAGTCTAGGTGAACACTGAATATACTACCACTGATTTCTTTCTTCTACAATAATAGTAAGAAATAATAGTAGTGTGTATTGGGGTTGCATGGCATGCATGTGGAGGTCAGAGGACAACTTTGCAGAATTGGTTCTCTCTTTTGACATTTTCATGAGTTCTGGGCATGAAACTCAGGTCTCCAGGCTGTGCAGCAAGGACTTAAACCCACCAAGCCATCTTACCAACACTATCACTGGTTTCTTCTGACTTTTCAAGTGTCATGGGCTGTGTAGCTCTTGGGAGCAGAAGAAACTCTAAAGCTTTTTGGAAGGCTGGGTTGCAGAGTGTGCTGTGTGTATCACCACCATATTGTATGTCTGATTGCTGAGCTCTTGTAGTAATGCCTCACAAAGACAATAACACATACAACTAATTAATGAACAGTCAGTAGTTTAGACCTCTGTCAGAAGCCAGCCTTGGCGACCCCCCATGCCTAGCTAGCCGCCAGCTAGTCTAGCATCCCACCCCTCAGGTTCCGGAACCTGGCCTGAGAAGCAACTAACACCTATTCCTTCCCCCACTTTCTTAGTTAGTGCTTGAGATAAACACAGGAGATTCTGGATACTTGCCTGAGAGCAATTAACATTCATTCCTCCCCCACCTCCTTTTTCTCTGCTTCCCCCTTTTTCTTTAAAAAGCCCCTTGGTTTCAATAACACAAAACTTGACAAGACAAAAATCGCTTGGTCTCGCTTTTCTTTTCCGCCCATTATTTTCAGGCTTGATCCACCTCGGACCCACAAATTACTAGAGCCCCGCGGGCTGGGGCAGACCTCGAGTATGAGTCATAGTCTGGTGCCTAGGAGCAGGGTTTGGGACAGAGATGGTGATACACTGTAGCTCTTGTTTGAATCCATCTGCTGGGGAGATAGCTCAGTTGGAAAAGTACCTACCACAAATGCATGGAAACCTGGGTTTGGATCCCCACCAGCCACTTAAAAAGCTGGGCATGTCAGTGCACATGTATAATCCCACTGATGTGATGGGGAGAGGGCATATGGGGTATGGGAGATAGGAGATGGGAGATAGTAAGAGAGATGTATCCTTGAATCTCATTGGCCAGCCAGTCAGGACAAATTGGTAAGCCTCTGCAGGTACTTGCAGATATCCTAGCACACAAACACACACACAGACACACACAGACACACAGACACACACACACACACACACACACACACACACACACACACACACACAATTAAAACAGGATAAATATTTACAAAGGGATTAGCAAAACATTAATTCATAAGTATTTTTTAAAAATCAAACAATACAAAAATATTCACTAAAAAGTCTCCTCAATTTAAGATTCTTAGTCCCTCCTCTAGGGGGAAGTCATTGATTTTGTATTTCCATTTATGACTTTGCCATGCCTACATAGGCATGTAACACACTATATATTGTTCTGGACTTTGTTCTTCACAGTCAACAATGTATTCCACATAGCATATTAGTCTTTGCTTTCTTTACAAGTTTGCCACTGCTTGGGAATATACCATGTATTTAACCAGAGTCTCACTAAATGGTAATTTCCCACTTTCTACTTTAACTAATACTACACTGAGCATTGTTTCACATAGACCTGTGCACCCATGTGTAAAAATACCTTCTGGGTTCATTGTCGGGGGGTGGGGGTGGGGGTGGGTGCTGCTTAGAAGATGGTGTGAAGGATGGTCAGTTCTGGTCTCCTTCGTCAACATTTGACCAGAAGAAACCCTATGTGAGTAGTCTTTTGGGGATGCCCTGTTCTGGAATGTTCTGCATACGACACTATCATAATTGTGTATCTGATTGCTGAGCTTTTGCCATGATGCTACACAAAGACACCTGCAAGGAGCCGACAACTTGGATGTCATAGTTAGTGTTCTATTGCTGTGAAGAGACATCATGACCATGGCAACTATTGTCAGAGAAAGTATTAAACTGGGGCTGGCTTACAGTTTGAAAGGTTTAATCCATTATCATCGTGATGGGGAGGATGGTGGCATATAAACAGACATGGTGCTGAAGAAGAAGCTGAGAGTTCTATGTCTTGATCCGCAGGCAGCAGGAAGAGAAAGCCACTGAGCCTGGCTTGACTTTTGAAACCTTAAAGCCCACCCCTCAGTGACACACTTCCTCCAACAAGGCCACACCTCCTAATCCTTCTCAAGTAGTACCACTCCCTGATAAGTAAGTATTCAAGTAAATGAACCTATGGGGACCATTCTTAGTCAAACCACCCCACATTCCACTCTCTGGCCCCCACAGACTTACGGCCACATTATAATGCAAAATGCATTTAGCCCAACTTCAAATGTCCCCATAGTCTATCACATTCTCAACACTGTTTAAAAGTCCAAGGTTCCAAGTCTCTTCTGAGACTTAGGACAATCTCTTAACGGTAACCCTCTGTAAAGTCAAAAGTCAAAAAGCAAATCACATAGTTTCAAAATACAACGGCACAGAACACACACAAGCATCCCAAAAGGGAGGAAAGGAAGCACCGTGAGGAAATACTGGAGCAAAACAAGAATGAAAACCAGCAGGGTGGATTCCAAATTCCGTGCCTCCATATCTGATGTCAAAGTGCCCCTCAGATCTCCAACTCCTTTCAGCTCTGTTGACGGCCACACACTTGTCTCACTTGGGCTGGTTCCACACTAGTCTGCAGCTCTTCTTGCAGGTATCCCAGGCTCTGGCACCTCCAACATCTTGTGGTCTCCAAGGCATTCCAGGTTTTATACTCACAGCTTCATGTCCTCCATGTAGGGTTACCTCTGACACACACCTGGCCTCAGTGACTTTCCTTAGCTATGGAGGGAGATTCTTCCCTTCTGAAACTTCCTGGGCTGGATCCTCACAGTTCAAATCACCCTAGGCAGTGTTTTCCATGCACCTACTAATATGGCCCATT